CGTAATTCCGTAAGTACCTGAACAGAGTAAATTCTTGTTAATGGTGTGATCAACTGATCTATTTATCTTTTATTTACCAGGTTTATAATTTCCTAATGTTCTGAAATTTTTCACTCTCATTTATAAAAACCTCAAATTCTAACAATCAGGAAATAAAGTTTAAGGCCTCCAGCACACAGCAGTTTTGATTTGCACTTTTAAACTCACCTCTTAATCCATTTCAGGGTTTCCAATTGTTCACAGTTAATTCTTCTTACCAAGAGTGTATTACACTCGCTCAGCATTGAATGATATGGAAAGAATGGCTTTTCTTTACTGCATAACTGACTTTACTTTTGTTCACAGGTTAAAATCAGGCCTTCCATTTCACTGCAGTATTATATTGGTGGCATTTTTATTTAAGAAAAAAAGCTTTCTTCCACATGAACTTTTGTTACAAATCAGTTTATTGGGGCCAATCAATGGGCAGGACCTATGAAAGGGTGTGGATTATCTGGTTAGTCCTTTGTGTGGCAAAAGGCTTAGATACTGCTTAGTACTTGGCTCATTCTTCATCATGTAAAGAAGTGTTTTTTTGAAGGATCAACACCTGACTGAGCCCTGCCTTTTTCATGGTAATGTTTTCACCTGAGTTGCTTCTTATGGTACTAAGAATTAGTTAACTAATACTTATTTAACCTTGGAACAATGTTTATCATAATCCAGTTGGCAGATAGTCATTTTATGTAGGCCTTTTCTTTATTGCAACAGGACTAACAAATCTCAGTAAAGAGTATGCTGGGAACAGTTTTTTTTCCCCAAATAAGTTATCACTCGACCTTTTTTCTTTCCATCAAGGGGCATGTTTCGGCGCTATAGACTTAAGACTAGCAGCCACACATTAACAAGTTAGATTTTCCCTCTTGGATTGAGCTCTACATTTATTTTTAAAGCTGGCCTTCCTATTTTATACTGCTAGCAGCTTTTCCTCCAAAATGCTCTCCAATGTGGTTTATGTTAATACATTCAGATCTGTTTTTTCATGATAAAACTTCCTCATGAGCATTACCACTAATTAATATACAAAGTGACCCAGCACAATTTAATTATTTGGTCATGTTTTTTGGTGTTTTTTTAAAGACGATGCTTTACAAGTCAAGTCCTGAACTTGCCTGGGTCATGACCTCTCTGCAGTGTTTGCAGTCTTGTAAAACAAGAAGAAAAGCAAAACATAAATTATCCCCTTCATTATAAGTTGCACTGCATTTCCCAGTCTTTCAACAATCTGACGAGCATAGTCACTCTCAACGTAAGAGAAAATTTCACTAGGAAAATGGTAATTCCAGCTTTCTGCAATGAGTAAGAAGTTTCTTCCTCAGTGCCATTCTTCTAGGGCCACCACTGTCCTCCATGAGAGAGGAGCAAGATGAAGGAGTTTGAATTATGGGCTATGGAACATTAAAAACCTAAGAAAAAAGAGAAGTAACAGTTACCTTTAAATGTAGTGAGGATGTACCAGCCTGCGTGGCCTTTGGTATCTGTTAGCCTTCAGGGATATGTCCTAAGTGTACCACTAGAATTTAGTGTTGAGAAATATTTGGAGTGTCAAACTTTTTTGTTTTAGTAGAAGTTTGTGTGTCTTTATGTGTTCGTAATTACTCCACACCCCAGTTTTGTTGTTGTTGTTTTGCTTTGGGACTTCTGTGTTTCTGATCCTTCTGGCTTGGAATGTCCTTCCCCTTCATCTGCCCAGTCATCCTAGTCATTCCTTAAGGCTGAGTTCAGGTATCTCTCTCCCAGAGACAGATGCTCTCTCCGCCACATATCTCTTCCCTCTACCATGACATCCTGTCCGTAATACCTCCACCATTCCATACTGTCTTGTAATGATCTCTTTTGTATCCATCTCTCTCTTCATACAAGGCCTATTCCATATTCATCTAGCAACTTGGTAAAGGTCTGCTGATAATGTGTTTGATTTTTAGCTAGTTGATTTATTGAAGAGTAATAATGATTATCCTTTAGTCAGTATACTTCACAGGTACACTTCTATCCCATTGTCTTTGCACAATCATCTGATATATCAATCACTGATTATACCAAAAGGCATTCCTTTGGTATGCCTTTGTTTATGTTGGTTCATTATCCATTATTGGCACAGTTGATGGACAAAAACGAGTAAAATTGAGAAAGGCTAACATGCCTTATTGACAGGTGTAATATTTACAAAACCCAAATTGAAATTGTTTTGGCATCTGATCTTCAATTTCTTAAAATCTTTTCCTGCATTTATTTTAATTTCCACATAATAATATTTTTTATTTCCTCAGTTATTTTAGCATCCTGAGTTTCTAAGATCTGTGAATAGGCTTAATGATTGTATTAAAGGCTTATCTGTGGAATGACTGTATCATAAATCTAGTGACATAAGTTTCAAATTTACTCCTCTTCCATTTTCCAAGTAAACATTTTTTTAAATGGTTGAAGAAAGGATTCTGGATCAGGTTTCCATTCCTGGCTCCATCATGATTAGTTATTTGACCTTGAACAAATTACTTATATCTGTGAGACTCAATAGCTTCATAAGTAAAATAGAGATAATACTAGTACTTAATTCTCAGGATTATAATGAACATTAAGTGAGAGATTGATCTAAAGAGGTACCGTACTACAAAGAGGAGAACGTGAAGTCCCCGTATTGAATGGTGAGGTACCCAGACCCCTTCCCCCATCAACTCCCAGTATGCTGGCAACTAGGCTTTGTAGCCCTCAGGAAGGAGATTGGAAGATTCTCCTCTGGGAGAAATTTACACATGCTGACCTTTGAGGGACCCCTAACAATCAGCCCAGTCGTATCTGATCATCCTACAGTGATGCCCACAGACTCAGAACTGCCAGTCATCAGTTTAACTCTTAAATATGAATAGTCATCCAACAATCACCAGACACTTGAGGAAAGCCTCCAGTGAACAAATAGGAAAAAAGAAAGGAAACAGAAAGCGGAGAACAGAAGAAAATATTTTTAAAAATCTGTAATGTTGTAATATTCACAGAGATCTAAAATAAAGTACTGTACCCATCAAATATAAGAAGATACAATGATAATAAAAAAGAAACATTCAAGAAACAAGAAAGAGCTCTTAGAAATAAAAAAATATATATATTATAGAGAGAAGTTAATACAAAGGTTGGAAGACAAAGTTGATGCTAATTTTAAAAATGTTACGAAGAGAAAGAAATAAAAACCAGGAGTAAAAAAAGAGAAAATGAGAAGATTAGTCTTAATAGGCCAGTATCCAATGAAAGGAGGTTCAGGATAGGGGGAAAACCAGAAAATAAATGGAAGGAAATCTCAAAGAAATAATCCAAGATAACTTTCTAGAACTGAATGATTGAAGTTTCCAGTTTAGAAAGGACCTATCTAGTGCCAGCAAAATGAATAAAGAAGACTTATCTCGACATATGTAAGTCTGAAATTACAGAAGAAAGGGATAAACAAAGATTCCGTAAAAATTATATTTTAAAAAAACGAGTTAGAAGCAAAGAATCAGAAAGTCAGAATGGCACCAGTCTTCTAGCCAGCAACATTGAAAATTGAAAGCAGAGCCATGCCTTCCAGATTCTGAGGGAAGAATCATTTCTAAGCTTGCTGTTGACACCCAGCCGAACCATCGAGTAGAGCTGGAGTGTCCAATATTAAGGGTGCAGTGAAGGCATTTCCAGAAATTCAACATCTTTACATTTTTGCCTCCCATATGCCCTTTCTTAGGAAGCTTTTGAAGTATACGCACCACAGAAAAGAGGGAACAGATGAAGAAAAGGGAAGGCTGGGATACAGGGGATCTAAGAGGAGAGAGGAAAGTTCCAGAACTCTAGCTGGGCAGCAGGCCTAGAGAGCAGTCAGCTCACCTTGAGCTCTGAGGACAGGGGACTCCAGGAGAGGGGTTTTTTTAAAGTTAGGTGTTTTTTTGTTTGTTTGTTTTTTCTTTTTTTTAATTCTCTAACATGTTTGAACATATTGAAAGAATATTTATGGTTGTGTTTGTTTGGGGATGAACTTGTGATAAGTACCTGGTAAAATAAGCAAAGGGGGAAAATGGCAGTTGTTAACTCTAATAAAAACAAAACGTTGCCCAAGAAAGGAAATTTAATAGTACACTACTATTTGGCTTAGCTGTAAATCATAATTATTTAATTATAATAAATACTGAATATATTAACCCCAGACAATGAAATAACTGTTGGAAGGCTGAGGAAAGGAACATATGGGGGGCTAAGTGCAAAATTAATACTAAGTCCCCATCTTCCATAATAGGAAGTCAGTAAATAATATGTAAGCTGAAAACAAAAATCTAAAAGTAGCACTGTAAGCTTGTTGTTTAAAGATAAGGTAGTAAGTACAAGAAGAAAAGCTGAGAGAGTTGAAAATGGTTGCTTCTGGAGAGGGGGCATCAGGAATAGTGGTACAGGCCTGCTATAGTTTTTAATCATTTTTTGTATATTTTTGGGTTAAAAATAAAAATGAAATTTAAAGATATTAAATGACACAATTATGCAAAGTGCTTAGCACCATGCCTTTCACAGTTGTGTTGCATAAATGTAAACTATTATCATTACCCTATTCCCTCTAAAATGCATACTAAAGCCTTGCTAAGTGGATGATACAGACTTTGCATCCATTCACCTCCTTTTTTGTTCCTAGTTGCCACCATAGATATACCACGTTGGCTGTGAAAAATGAATTACAAACATATACTGAGGTATCCTCCTCTGGGTCCATGTCTCCCTGATTTACTAATCCGTTCTTTTATTGATGTGAGTGAGAAGAAAGTGTTGCTCTTTCTGAATCATGTTGATACATTTTTTTAGAATTTTAAGAGGAATATTCTTAATTTTTTCCTTCTCTTTTGCCTGATCATTTGCATTTCTGTGATTAAATACATGGATAGTACTCAGGCTTCCTCTAGTTTCCCAATCAGCCCTACCCCATGTGTTTTAACAGGTTTTCTCCCTCTCATCAGGGCCGCAAGCTTCTTATCATTGGGACCACTAGCCGCAAAGATGTCCTTCAGGAGATGGAAATGCTTAACGCTTTCAGCACCACCATTCACGTGCCCAACATTGCCACAGGAGAGCAGCTGCTGGAGGCTTTGGAGGTGAAAATGAGTTAATGGATTACACACTGTTTATAAGAAAGGAATTGAGGCTGGAAATAATGCTAAGTGGTGCCACAGACATCATACCTCACGTTTAGTTTCTATGTTAACCTAGAATATGGGACCTAGGATATACCTTCAGTTGTTTTCAGGAATTAGAGATGAATATAAGTGAGAGTGAATTAATTTCCCACTCCTCAGTGTAGGCAGCGTACAACCTGCCAGATTGTCTGTGTTACTCTATGCCCAGGATGAGTAATGCATATAGATTACGTGCACCAGAAACTTGAAATGGGGGGTGGGGAGGGTAAAGTAATCAAAATATAGAAAATTCAGTCATTCATGGCAGCTTTCAGCACATTTACTTGCATTTAATAATTGGAACAATGATTAAAACCTTAGACACTTCAAAAAAGCTACAGAAATAAAAGGAATTGCTTTATTTATTTATTTATTTTTAAAGATTTTATTTTTCCTTTTTCTCCCCAAAGCCCCCCTAGTAGATAATTGTACATTTTTTTGTTGTGGGTCCCTCTAGTTGTGGCATGTGGGACGCCGCCTCAGCATGGCCTGATGAGCGGTGCCATGTCCACACCCAGGATTCGAACCAGCGAAACCCTGGGCCGCCGAAGCGGAGAGCTCGAACTTAACCACTCAGCCATAGGGCCGGCCCTAAGGAATCGCTTTATTAAAAAGTTCATATTATGGAAATGTTTTCTTAAATTTTTTTAAGGATGACAAAGTCTTTAATTTAAAAAATATGTATATATATGTCTCCTTCATTAAACTTGATTAATTATCAATGTACACAAATGAGTTAACGAGATCTGTTAGAAAATATTATCTAGTGACTTGTTCAGCGGTGGTGAAGGCTTCCTAAAATCCTCAAGACCCATACAATCGGGGCCCACTCCCAACAACATAGAAATTACCTATATGATAAACGTCTCCAGGTTACCCATTTGAACAGCGTTTGTGCTGGGCTCGGGTAAAGAATTAAATGTAGTCGGCTTTGACATGTACAGATTGTTCCTAGAAAGGAATGTTAAAAATTTCAACTGATATTTATTATGGATTGGAGCTGTTGCTTTCCCCCCAGCAAATATCTCTCTAAATTCTAATGCAGGTCTCTAGGAAACAGGGTTTAGGATACCAGCTTTCACTTTCATAGTTCCACGTAATGGGTTTAGGAAGGTCAGGTTGAATTTCAAAATATGAGGGAATTCTGTCAACTTGAACCAGTCAGGTAGTTCTTATCACTGTTCCTTTAGAGATAAATGGGAGAATCAACCAATGTTGATGCACTTACATAAAAGTGCTTTCATGATTTTTATTGTTTTTGTAGCTTTTGGGCAACTTCAAGGATAAGGAACGTACCACGATTGCACAGCAAGTCAAAGGAAGGAAGGTCTGGATAGGAATCAAGAAGCTACTGATGTTGATTGAGATGTCCCTACAGGTAAGCTGCACCCTTCTCCATGTGATTCAGACATAGAAGTTTCATGATATACCAAGAAGTTTTCTATTTCCTTTGCTAAGATTTTAATTAATTTGTTATAATTCTCTTATATTATTTCCGAACCCAAGTTGATATTAGTAGCCTGCTTCTGAGATCAAACAATAACTTATTGGTACTTTTCTTTCCCACTTCTTCAAATTCAAAAATAGAAGAAAAAATTATAAAGTTGCTTTAAGTATTAATTTAGGGAGTCACTAGATCTTAGAACTAGAAAGGACTCAGAGGGCAGTTGTCCTGCTGCCCCCTCTTTAGAGACGAGGGTACTGAATGCCCACAGGTTGTCGGTGAGTTATCCATGGTCACAGACAGTTATTGATGGAGGGGGATGGTGTTGTCCATCAAGAGGTGAGGAAGCTGCTGCACACACCCCGAAAGGGGCCGGGAAACGGTGTGAAGGGACAGGTTACTGAGTGGCACAGATTAGACTTCGGCTCTGTATATTTTCTCCTGGCTGGGCTCCTGGGAATTTCATGCAAACTGTTGTAGAGTTGAAGCATCCAGGATCACATAGAAAACTGAGCCCCAGGCTGCTGCCTGGGCAAAGACAGATGAAACTTTCTGGGACTTTCTCACGTCTCCTGGCAACTTACCTTTCCTCTTTTGGGAACTCCACCCCTCCATGTGCCCATCCTGTACCTTCTTGTCCTTACCTGACATACTAGTTAGATAATAAATGTATCCCTACCCAGCCCTGTGAGTTCAGGACCTTGATCTCACTCACATTGAATCCACAGCCCCGGAGCTGAGCCGGACACATAGTAGGGTGCTCGGTAGACTTTGGTTGAATGCGTCTATCCCAGGTCTTGGTGGACAGACTGGCTGCATTCTAAGCACTGCGTGTTACTGCTCAGTCCCACCATTCGATCAGGTCAGTGTGAGCAGTGCTGGCAGAGGTGAAGTTTAAGTTTTACCCTTACATCTGAAATAGGCTTTGGACCAATAACAAATTGGTAACATAAAGTGAATGCTTTTTAATCTTTGCTGGTAAATTTATTTTAAAATAAAACTGTGGCTTTCAGAAACCTAAAGTTTAATCTGTTGAACTTTCAGCTGGACTATTTTTAAGCCAATTTATTTATTTTCCATTATAAGCAGTAAATTAACGTTACAGACTAATCACTTTGCTTAGTCTTATTCTTGGTAAAGGTGCGTATACAGATGTATTGGCTCTTTCCTTGGAAAAAGATAAATCTGTTAGATAGTCATCTCTACTCTTCATTTTTTTAGCTTCAGCACAACTTTTTTTCAATAATTGCATAGAAGAAACTATGTGGGTTTTTTTCCCCAGTCCCTACCCCTTCCTCTCCCTTTGTTGCCCGCAGGTCAGTGATCAAGCTAATGCCTCGTATGTGTGGGGAGAAAGTGAGAGTGGGGCACTCAGGCCTCATCTTCAGCAACTGACACTTCATAGGCCTCTGAGTTTGAACCCCTGCATGTCAAATGGATTTCGTGCAGCTGAGTGAATTCTCTTTAGATTTGCCTTAGAGAGACTGAGCCAAAGTGAAGAGGCATGTAGTTTAGCAGAATATAAGTCATGTTACCTCTCTGTTCACTATATACGATTCTGTTAAAACTTGCACAGTGCCGAGGATCGGCTCTGACTGGATGTCACCTGAGGGAATAAAGTCATTTATCTAGATTACTTTTTTCCTCCCTTTCTCTTGACTTTTAATTCCATAGCTACAGGCAAGTCAGTAAGTCGTTGCTCACACATATTAAATATATTTAATGGGCAAAGACCTGCAAGTACTGACTACAGCTGAGCTCCAGCCAGTTCCATTTTTTCTAAAGAACTTGACAATTGATTCATATGTAATTCTATTCCCAAAGAGGGAAAATGTTTCTTTGTTAGCTATCCACACTTTTTCTTAGTCCTTTGTAGTCTGGCCTCCTAACTTTGATGCATTTGAAATTTCTGTCCAATATTTTTCTGACATAGAAGAGAAGAAATCTTAAAAAAAAAAGTGGCTGGAGAAGGCAGTCTGGTTGCGCCTGTACCCGCAGCTGCGCCGAGCCTCCGGAAGCTCTTCCTGGAGGGCAGGGAGTTCCCTCCCGGGAAACACGCTCCTGCCCGGGAACATTTTTTAAAAGTTAGGTGTGTTTCTTACAATAAAAGTTCATCTTAAAGAATTAAAGATGCTTTTAATGATCATTTTTTAGATAACTTTACATCTCTAGTGGACCGATGAGAATAAAATATAATTAAACAAATTAGTATAGATACGAATATAAAATGAAAATGAATAGTGATAATAATGACCTGAGCCAGAACTCTCTTGTTGTTTGTTAGACTCGTGTCCCTGTCTCAGTTACAGGAGACCTGGATTATCCAGAGATCATGTCAGAGAGTCAGCCCCATAGTTCGTTTTTTCAGTTTCAGCACAATTTTTTTTGTTAATTGCAAAGAAGAAACTATGCAAGACAGGCCAAGGTGAAAAAAAGCTAAATTGTCTATCATAAAGAGCTAACAAGCTACTTTTTAGTCATTTAATCAACCTCAATTGGTTTCTTCAAGTTTAGTCTCACTTTTTTGTTTTTTTTTTTTTGCTGAGGAACATTTGTCCTGAGCTAACACCTGTGCCAGTCTTCCTCTGTTTTGTATGTGGGTCGCTGCCACAGCACGGCTGCAGACAAGTGGTATAGGTCTGTGCCTGGGAACTGAACCTGGGCTGCCAAAGCAGAGCACGCCGAACTTAACCACTAGGCCACAGTGCCAGCCCCTGGTCTCACTTTTATACCTTAGATGAGTCCTATGAATTGGATGCCATTTGAACCCCAGTGAATGGCCACATCTGGTCTCACACTGGTCCTCTCAGGCCTGCTGCCTCCTCACATAGCGTTAGCCAAGGGAGCACTCGGCTAAGGTGCCTGCGAATGGCCAGCTGGGTCATTTGGAACCTCATGCACAGTGATTCCCTGTGCTAGAAAATCCCCGTCACTTCCCTTGAATGATGCAATCTCCTTTGCTGTGTCTCTGAATACTGGTCAAGGAGCAGGTAACACACTTCTGTGACTCAGCAGAGTGCTGAGAGAAGCAGGAAGCTGAGCGTTTCCTCGGCATGCAGTGAGCACATAGTTATTAGAAGACACCGTTAACACGTCGTCTGTATTTCTTCTGATGTATTTAGATGGATCCTGAATACCGTGTGAGAAAATTCTTGGCCCTCTTAAGAGAAGAAGGAGCGTAAGTACATGCAACACTTAAGACCGTCAGCCAGACTTGCCTCTCTTGAGTCCCAGGGCCTGTTCTAAGACTTGCTAGACAGTGCATATAAATTTGAATTGTCAACCTGTCTTGGACAGCTTTGCTTCCATTTATTAGAATTCTTCGCTGTGTTGTAGGTCTGAGAGACCAAGCAAGGAAATTGGTTGTACTGTTGGTTTGCTCTCCCTGCCCTGCTTCGCAAAACTTCCTTGTCACAATGCAGGAAAAAACTCAATGGTACATATTTATTGGAACCTGCTTTTGAATGCATGGTGCTGACCATTTTCTTTTGTGAAATGCTCATCTAATAGCGAAATGCATAGTGAAAAATGTAGAAAAACCATTAAGAAGCTTTTAGTGATTTTTGTGATGAATGACTTTTGCAGACCTTCAGCTGTCTTTTTTGCGTCTTGGATATTTCTTTTTCAGTAGCCCCCTTGACTTTGAAAATGGACTGTTTGCAAACACACAGTGACCAAGGGAAAGGACCAAGGTGAAGATGGCTTGAGATCTTCCCTCGATTTATTCAAGATACTGGATGACCTTCACCACGTGCTCACTCTGCATGATTAGTGCAATAAAACTTCCTTCCGTATGCTTATTGAGATATTCTGCTGTTTTGTGGAAGGTGCAAATTTGCTTTAGAGCGCTGTGCTTACCTTTCCTTGCAAGCTAAGGTGATTCCTTCCTCCTCGGTCTTTCAGTGTGGGAGACATACTGTACTTGTGAACACTACACGTTTTAAGCTCCCCGCCACCACCACTACCACCCAGAAACCTCTCAATAATCGTGATGATGTTGCAAAACAACACTTGACCTGTTAGAAGGGAGACTTTCTACGTGTAAATGAGGAACAGTGAGTGAGCAAGGGCATGGCTTCAGAGGGTTATCGCCCAACTTCCCTATGCTGACACTAAAGAGAACTGGGTATTTGGTTAGAAGTTCTCCCAGAAAACTGTCTCTTACCTTTGCCTGAAGAAACAGGGCTTTGAATTTCTAAGATGCTCTTCTCCGTCATTTTCAGACATGTGTCCAAGTTTCAATCAGGAGATCTTTCTTAAGAAAAAGTCAGATCGTAACTGGTGGCTGTGACATCCCCTTAATGTAACTAATTTGCTCTGTCGTAAAAGATATGCTAATCATTACCACTTCTCAGCACTAATTAGTGTCCAACTCTAAATGGGTCAATTCCTTAGTATAATATTAAAAGCATGTTAGTATCACCACTTTTCTTTTTTCCTTAACTTAATGGCTTACTTAGAATGCATCCTTCCTTTATTTTAAATGATCTGTACTATCTAGCATCTAAATAAAACACTATTCTACAGAAAAAATAAACCTCTTTCTAGCCCTGTCCCCTTGGTCCTTTAACGTCCATTCCAATACATTTCACACGTTTCCTTTAGCCTCTCCATGCTGCTTCAAAGGGGAGGAGGTGGGTGGTTTGTCTCAGGACTGAGTTAGAGGGAGTTTGACTAGGTCACCGTGTTTGGTGGTGAGATTTAGGGAGCATGCCACTCTCCCCACTGCTGCTGAACAGGCGAGGACAGGCCCTCAGAAGCCGCCTGAAGGTGCTTACCGCCACCCGCCAGGCTTATTGCCGCAGGGGCACTTGGGGGTAGCATTGTCATTTGTCCCCATGGTAGAAGGCAAATTATCTCCAGGTCTTGCTATCTGTATATTTTTGGTAGACTTCGATGTCGTGTTGACTTTGTTTTGGGTTTTCATCCCTAGCTTATTTTGTGGCTTTTTAAACAGTGGATTGTATTGTGAAATTCTGTGATTCCTGGTGACCAGTGTCCTGGATTCCCTTATCTATTTTAGATCTTTTCCCTTCCCACAAAAGCAAACATTGTATTAATTTATGTCTCTTGTTAAATGAGGTTAATGTCTTTGTGTTTTGTCTAAAACTATATTGAAAAATATAAATATTATATTGTTTAATGCAAATGAAGGAATGCAATAAAGAGTACATATACTTGAAAACATTCTGTAGACCACTATTTGGTGCAAAACAACATATGTAACTGCTTTGCATACAAAGAAAAGGGGGCTCGGAAAAGCCCCTCGTTTTGTTACAACTAGCATAAGGAGATAAATGGTTTTTATTTAAAAATTTCCAATTTTAATTATTTAGAAAATATAGTTATTTAAAAAGAAAACCAGATCAATAGCATATTTTAAAAAGTTAATACACAACAAGAATCTTTATACTTATTTTTCTTATTTCACCTTATTAAAAAACTGAAGTGTACCAAAGCCATAAACAGGTTAGTAAAAACCAGAAAGGAGAGTTGTTTCTTGATTAGAATCACTCCTTCCTGTGAAATGTGCAAGCCAAGGGACTCAGTCACTCTCAGTGAGATTTCTCACATGGTTCATTTTGGCATCCTTCATCCTTTTTGCATTTTTCTGAGCTATCAGATCTCTCAGCCTAAACCCTGATCCTTAGAGAGTTGACTCAGGTTAGAACAGAGGGCAGCCCAGTAAGTCAGCAAGGCTCTGGGGAAGAGGTCACCTGCAGAGCTTCTCTGACAGCAGAGCAGCTCCCCAGGAGCTGTCCACGCCCTCCGGGGAGGAGGACCCTGAGGCCACCTGGTCCCTTAAGAAGGTGGGGTCTTGCTGCTATCCCAGCCCTCCAGGCCAGTGCGGAGCAGGGAGCGTGAGCGACAGCAGGGCCTGGCGATGAAGCAGACTCCGGCCACTGCTGCCTCACGTTTCTTCCTCTCTGCATAAACTGTTCACAGGTTATTTTTTGTCAGAAGATGTAATTAAAACCTCAAAAAAGGAGGTTATTTTATCTTTCTGAATGTACATCTTCATTGAAACACATTTTTTTTTTATGTAACAGAATAACTATATAATGGTGTTAAAATCTGAAATATGTTTTACTTTAAGGCTATCTTTTCATATCCTAAAAATTATGGTGAACAGCCTCCCCTCTAAGTTTTAGCAGCGAGTCATGGACTAGGTGCAAGTGTGCATAATAATCAAATCCTGGTCAACAGACTTGCTGAAGCACTGAGTCAGCTATAAACAACCAGCCCAGCCCAAACACAGAAGGTGGCATCGAGATTTCGTTTTCCGTGCCTGGCAACTTGATCCATGAGTCTCCTCAGAGAAGTAACTGGGAAAGGCGTGTGTGAGAGTTCAAAAAAGCATGTAAATTTCAGAAGTTATTGCAAAATGATCTAAAGTTTCTCAACAGCTGGTAAGCAGTGCCGAGACCGGGTCCTGGAGCCGAGCCCACGGAGGGCGTGTGCTGTCCGGACACCGTGGCCTGAAGATGCGGGAGATAGTGCCTGGATCAGCAAGAATCCCAAGTAGTGAAGACAGAATTTGCAAGGAGGACTCATGTTTGAAAGTTTCTCAGCATACAACCTCCACATAACTGACTTTGTCACACTATTTTGGAAGTATAAGATTAATAGTAAGATAATTTTTTGCCTCCTAGAAAGTTCTCTGATAAGCTAGGAGGAATGACAGTGTAACATGCAGCTGTGATTTTGTTCAGAGAACTTCGCTTGTGCGTGTAGGTCAGCCACGCACATGAGTACACACATGCCGGGCTGGGTGGGTGCACCATCAACCGTTGGAGACCATCACTGGATACACCGAGAATGTTCTCACCACTGTCTTCCCCTTTGCTTCCCTCTGCTTTTTCCTTACCCTCCTCCTTCCTTTTGCCTTTATTTGTACCTCATCCCCTCATCCTTGAACTCTCTCTCACACTGTCCTTCCTTTCCCTCTTCATAAAATGCTACTGCTTTAAAAGATGTCTTCTCATTATATTGTCTCTTTTCTTTCTTTTGGATCTTTTTTTAAACTCCCTCTTGTTTTTAGATGTTTATTAGTATTTATGCTTATAGTGAAACTAAATGTTCAAGCCCTGCTATAAACTCTATCTTCTTTAATCATAGAATGTGATTAATCATAGGAAGGATTACAAATGGCCTTGGTAAGTATGAATAGGGACCATTTAAATATTTGGCAATCTTATAGGTTAAAAAAAGTACCCAGAATGCTGGGATAGGGGAGTATTGGCTTTCTGTGAAAGTGAGTTGCAAAGATGAGCAGCGCTGTGAGGCGTGGAGATCTCTGTACTTGCCCTGTCCGATTCGGTGCACAGCTGAAACAACCATTTTCGTGGTTGGAGCTTTTCAGGGACTAGATGAAGCTCATGAAGCCAGTGAACTTCTAGTAGCCAATCCTAATCTAAGATTAGAGGGCTGAACGGGGCACAAGGCAGACTGCTTTAGTTTTCTATTTTTTGTATGACGTGAGACGATTAAAATTTGTTCCTAATAAAGGTAAATCAGGAGAAAGAAAAAGAAAAGATTTTAGCTGTGCCAAATAAACCGAAGGTGACATTTTATGGGTAGGTCTGAAGACCAAAGGATTGTCTCTTGTCATAAAACTGAGTTATAGCATCTCATTGTGGAGAAGGCGTCCCTGTGAGCTTCAGCTGAGTCCTTTGAAGCAGCAGTCCGAGGAGGGGAGGCGCTTGCCTAGAGCACACCCACTCGCGGGTCTTTTCTGCCCAAACCAATCTAACGCTTCAGATGATACCCATTCCAGACACCCCAGAGCCCGGGGCACACCATTCTCCTCCCAACCAACCTGCCCCTCCATGGCTGAGCTCTCAAGTGGGAGCTAGCAGGAGAGAGCAACTTCCAGTCAAGTTTCATTTTCAATAGAGCAAATCCTATTTTCCCAATAAATGGAGATGAAAACATGGGTGAGGAAAGCATTAAGCCAGTGGCCAGCCCTGTGGTCTGCTGACCTGGAGCCACATCTCTGTGTGTCTGTGACATTAATTTGTGCATTGGAAGTGCTGGAATCTGTGAAATGAATTACTGCCCAAATTGCTTATTTCTAAAACTAGAAATGTTTTGTTAGAAGCTGATTTAGAACAAAGTAAGCCTGTAAGAAAGTCCTCTAGTAGGTGTGACCTACTATCCTTGTCATCTCAGATGATCTTGCATAGAAAATGGAGGAAATGACCTTAATTTGGGCCACTAATTTAAGGGTGAAAGTTGAGGCCACCACATTCAGAATGGGATATTCTTGACCTCCTGAGCATTAATCTGGAAACTCCACACATTGTACAATGTATCCATTTTAAGTTTACCTTCTCTTTAATGACTTAACAGAAAAAAACTGCATGATGAAATATATTTTCTCCAAATATATATATATTTATATAATATATAATCTTAGTTAACTCAAAGGTATATACATTGTATAATAAATAATATTTATAAAAAGAGACTTTTTGAATATAAAATCAAAAAGATCAACAACTTCTACAACTTTTTACAAAACTTTGGATACAGCAGGTTGGTAGGAAATTTCTGTTGGATACTATTACCTGACTACGGCAAGAATAATTACAATGCACTCAATGTACTATTATTAAATAATTACTTGTCAGCTACTTGAATACGCCCCAGAAACATGACTTTATCACTTTTAATATAGAATACATAGATATGAAAAGACTGTTTTGAAAATTTGTATCCATTCTGCTGAAATAATTCTCACATAAAGCAAGCATTATCTGGTTGACATGATTTAAAACTTGTCAGTCTACGGTGAGATGGAGGGGCATTTCAGCCTCTGTAGAGGGGATGGGGGCTATCTTTAGCAGGGCTCGTTGCCAGCAGATTCAAGAGGGCAGGCATGGCTTCTAGACGATCGTCTTGGCAAACCTGCCTGAGCAAGGAGATCACTTAACCCAGCATCTTAGGTCAGTGTTAGGCAGACCAAAGAGAGAAGGGAGAAAAGGAAGAAAAAAATGTTCTATTCTAAACCCCTGCTGCTCCTCTTCCCTCTGAGTCTCCTTAAGACAGAGTTGATGGATTGATTTATACTGTCGAGTCCATTGCCTCCATTTTGCTAGTTTCCTCTGGGACACTGCAGAGGACCAGTGTGGATCACGGAGAGCTGTGAGATGCTTTACCCAAGGGAGCAAGTGACTGCCTGCCCCTTTGCACACCTAATCCTGATCCTTGGTAGCTGCGTGGATTGGTGCTATCTCAGCATCCAGGTGAGGCTGGCAGATCTGTGCTAAAAAACTCCACGGTTCCATTTACTCACACAGGCCAAAGAAAGAAAAGGATGCAGGAAGACGTGTCCCTTGTTGGAGCGGAAACGAAGGAATCATTTTTACCCTCCCCATGTACTAGTCTCCAAATTGCAACTTCAGGAGTAGGCCGCTACTTTCTTCTGCCCTTCGTCTAATTTATGTGACGGTGACCTAGCATCCACCTGCTCTACCTGGAGCTGTTTTGATGGAGAACCTGCAGGTGAGCAGGGCTGGGAGGGGTTGAACGGCCCCTTCCAAAGACCCCACTTCTTTCTTTCGGAAGCCATTTGTCTGGAGAAGACTTGCCCCCCATACATAATCTATTTACAACGTCCACTACCGAAAAAATGTACTGCATTAATGGTGGAAACTGCAGAATGGGAGAAAGAGATTTTGAGATCTGACTGCAGTTCACAAGAGTCTCTCGTGCAGAGCAGGGTACAGAGAAAATGAGGCTGAGAGGAACACACAGCTGCTCTTCAAACAGCTTACCAGGTCACCTAGAACTCCTAGTTCTTCCGACTCAAAACCTACTCGAACAATTGCCTTGGGCCTCCCTCCCACTTTCCCCTGGCTGCACCTATGGCTTTCATCAGGATGTGACAGTATATCGGGTTTGAACGGGGGTAGACAGAGCAGAGCAGACGGCAGGGGTTTGTCCTACTTCACAGCTCCTTCCTCACAGGCATCCTGGAATGTTACCATAAGAAGCAGTTTGAAAACAGAATTTTGCCCATGCTGATGTCTTTACCACCAGGCAGAGAGCTCACATTAGCCCAGCCTGTTCTGTTGGAATAGAATTTTTTTCCATTTTTATTTTCTTTAACATGTGCAAGATAAGCCTCGGGTCTGTTGCTATCAGACCCTAGAGAACTAAAGAGAGAGCCCCTTCTTTAAAAACCACACACCATCCAGAGCCGGGTGAGGAACTGAAGATGAGAGAGGAAGGCAGGCCGAGTCCAGGGAATGTGCCACGTGTGCAACAGTCCGGGTTCCGTGCTGTCTGGTGCTGAGGGCTGAGCCCGCTCTTGGTCCCGCTTCCCAGAGGACTTCGGTGAATCTGCCCAGCCACACACTTCACCCGTTCCCAGCGCCCTTTGGAAAATAAAGAGGAAGAATTAGAAACATAATTCCTTTCTCAGGGAGACCACCCATTGCGGTGCAAAGATCTGAGGCTGCTGACGGGAGATCTCGACATTTCTGTTGTCCTTGGAGGTCACGGGGACTCGGGTGGCTTGACAGTGCTCCCTCCATCCTTTAAAGTCTACACTGAGGAAGGAAGTTTGAGCTACAGGAACAGTAGGGCTTTAGCATGCACCAGTCCTACCTCCCCCACCTTCTAGCTGGGGCTTGGGCAACAGGAAGCCCAGTAGCACGTCACTACCCTAATGTAGAACCTGTCCTGTATGGATGCTGGGAGAAGCCTTGCTGGTCTGGGACCCAGTTCCCAACAAAGAGTAGACACCTGTGCACTGTGTTTGCTATCAAACCAAACAGTTGGATAATGAGCTGTCCAAACAGGAGAAAGTCTACTTAATTAATTATGAATAATTCCTTGTCAAGAGTGCACCAATGGGTACATCTTATTCGTTTGTTTTTTGTTATTGTTTTTTGGTGAGGAAGATTGGCCCTGAGCTAACATCTGTTGCCAGTTTTCCTCTTTTTGCTTGAGGAAGATTGTTGCTAACATCTGTGCCAGTCTTCTTCTATTTTGTATGTTGGACACCACGACAGCATGGCTTGATGAGCAGTGCATAGGTCCTTGCCTGCGATGCAACCTGTGAACCCTGGGCCATCAAATTGGAGCATTCGAACTTAACCACTACACCAGCCCCTTCATTTGTATATTTACATCTAACAAAGGATTTGAGGCCCAAAGCGCTTTTCCGGGCATTCCCAATCAACCCTCAACTCCTCGGGGGTGCTGACAGGGCCAGTATGAAACTATTTTACAGGGACGGAAGCTGAGGCTCAGCAGGATTAAAGGGACATGCCCAAGGTCTCACAGTGAGTGAGTGGCAGATGCAGTACTTGGGGTCAGCCAGGCCACCTGACTCTTGTCCAGAGCCCTGTGCAGCTTACTCTGCTCACATGTCTGAATAACAAGGAATAAATCTGGCACTCCTAAGGTGGAAAATCAGTGTTCACCTGAGACGCTGCACAAAGGCTACAAGTGATGGAAAAGATGTTTTCCCAGAAGGAAGGACTGGGACTCTGGCCTTCCTGTGGCATAAAGCCGTTTGACTGGGGCTGCCCTGCCCCGAGTGTGTGGAGGACACATGTCCCACTCTGAGGCTCCCTTCTCTCTCCTACCCACATTGTCAAGACAGCGTAGCCAAGAAAAGGTAGAGGTAATGTCCCATGTGGTCGCTGCCAGCTTGTCTCAAAAGTTCCCACCTTATCTGCAAGGTGTCAGTGGTGGAAAGGACGCCATGAGGCTGTCAGCCTATGGCTCCCGACCCAGCGGCATGCCAGGGGAAATCCGCTCCTGGAGGTCGGTCGGCTCCACTCAGCCCAGGAATCTTTGCTGCCTCCTCAAGAGCACGTGGACCCTGTGCCAGGGCTCTTAGTGCGCACGGCCGCCAGCCTACACGACAACCCTGCAAGGGACGCGTCTTACCCCGGTTCACAACAAGGAAACCAGCGCCCAGAGAGGCAAAACAGCTTGTCTCAAATCACTCAGCAAGCTGAGGATCTGTCCAAAGGGCACCTCAGTGGAGAGAGTTCTCCACCTGTCCTGGAGCAAGGGCTCCAGAGTGTCCACACAGGAGGGGCCAGGGGACCACCACCATCTACCTGGACGTGGCACCTTGAAACCATGTCTGTGTAGCACCTTCCCTGAGATTGGAAACAACGCCTTCTATTTCAGAAATGGGGAAAAGAGAGGGCTGATGGAGAGTCTCGAGTCTTCTTAGGATCAGTGTTAGGACAGGGGTGGCAGGCAGGGGACTTTCTGGACACTGAGGGCCAACCCAGCACCTCCTTCCCCTCTTGGCAGGTGGCTGATCTCGGCTGCCCACACGGGGATGGGAGGTGCTGGAACAGAGCTGCAGGGGTCTGAATGTGCGACACCCGAGAGCCACTGAAGGGGCCTGGGCTGCTGCTGCTGTGGCCTCTGCAGGACCCACATACGGGGCTTTCTGGAGGCAGAGACCTGGGCTCCGTGTCCCCATCTGTGCAAGGAGCAGGCTAGACAAATGGCCCGTCCAGTGTTAGTTCCCCACAGCCCCCTCTCAGAATGGCCGGAGCTGTGTCCTGCTTGATAGTGGGGACACCATGTTGCCTCTGGCCATAGTGGACATCAGAGGAAGGTGGCCACCGTGGTTTTCAAGCATTCCTTCCACCTTGACATGCCACCAGGAGCCTGTGAGTTCCCTCTTATTCACTGACTTTTCTCCTATCATTTTGAAAAGCAGGAAATGAAACTGCCCAAGTGTCAACAGCATTTCACTGAACGAGGACAGCACTCATGTCATGGCTCTCTGATGGCATTTATCACACTTTCTATTAGCACCATATTCAGACGAGCATTCACATGTTAGCTCACTTGAGCCTCATAAAAATTCTGCTGGCCTCCCACCGTCACCACCACTATCCAGACGAGGAAACTGGGCTACCCAGGTTCGACGGCCAGTGAGCGGTGAAGCTGAAACCACCTTTGTCCCCTGTCTACTCGCCACACTTTCGTTCAGATCCCAAGAAAGGTGGCACCTCCTGCTACCTTCTGGACTGTCCCCACCAGGATGTGAGCTACAGTGAGGGGCTTTGCAGATGGGCTAGGGGAGTCACCCCTCAACCAGAGCTCTAGCCAGGTCAGGCTCCTCCAGGCCTCAGAGAGGCCAGCCCCCTTGCCAGTCCCACACAGCGGAGACATGCCCCACCAGCCCTGAGGCGCCCTGTGTGGATCTGCACCGCCCAGTGGGGTCTCTCCCCAGCACAGCCTCAGCCAGCCATGACCCAGGCAAGCAAGTCTTTTACAATGAACCCAGCACTGTCCCCTGGGGCCTTTCATTTGTTCCTCACAGCACCTCTGGGGAGGAGGACAGGTGAGGATTCAGGGTGTGAAGACTAGCTTGTTTGGGTCACACAGTGCGCAAGTGGTAGAAGCTGGCCGGGGGCTCATCCTCTATCTATATGAGGCTCCTTCTCAGGGCAGCGGAGGAAGAAAGGGTGCACCGGCCTTAGAAAGCTTCCACCACTCTAGGTCAGTCTTGACCTCTCTTGGGGACCCACGGATCCGAGGGCCAGGCAGTGTCTCCCACGCAGGCCACCTCTGGGAAGCTTGGAAACATAATCCACCAGCCTTTGATCCCTGATTACTCACAGCCGTCACTCTGAACTTGAATCGCTCCTCCTCCCCATCACCATCCATAAACTCTGTGAGAGTGCACCCCACTCCACCCAAGCTTCAGATGTGTCAGGATATGGGCTTACACGCCGCTTCCCCACACCCACCTCCCTCAGGTTGGTAGGATTCATGCTTGTGCAAAAACTTGCCCTCTGCGTTTAAGGTGGATGCAAAATGACTCTGCCCCACGGGTGGAAGAGACTTTTCGGCTGACTATTTCACGTATTTTAACCTTCTCATTTTACAGCAAGAGAACTGAGCCCCAGAAAAGTGAAAGAACAGGAAATTAGGGATCAGAGTCAAAGCTGGGACCAGAAGTCATGTGTCTCGGCTTCCAACCCCAGTGTCCCTCTTCTGGCTCCCCAAACGCTCAATGATGATAACCAGTGCCTGTGCAAAAGTTTGACCGGCCTCGTAATTTACTAACTTGTTTAAGAGTTTTCAGCAACGGCTTGCGGCCTCGTGTGCACACACTTGGTTGTTATCCGTGCTTTCTGTGAATCCAGTAGGCCTATTCCCACCGGAACTACGGAAATCCTGGCTTTCTATTTTGGCTGTGAGAACTCGTGTGTGTTGGATAGCTCAGAAATAGAAAGGGGTCGTCATCCTTGACGGGCAAACCCAGTCCCCTGCACCAAAGCCCCCAGCCCGCCCACCCCGCCACCCTACCTGGCTCCCTACTTGCAGGTGTGCACGTCGTAGATGCGGACGCACTCCTGGCAGCTCACGTAGCAGCACCAGTGGAAGATGCAGTGGCATTTCTCCTTCCGCTTCTCCGTCCTCGTGTTGTGGCCGCGGCCGCAGCAGAGCAGGTCGCAGCCATCGATGCCGTGGGAGGTGACATTGCAAGTCCGGTCCCTGGTGCCAAAGGAGCCCGTCTCGGGGTTGGGCTCGCAAAAGTTGGGGGAGTTCTCATAGTAGACCAGGTCTCTCTCGGTGGGCGGCTTGAAGAGCGCGTACTTGGCGCGGAGTGTCTCCACCCAGCCGCGAGACTCACGGTGCTTCTCCACCACCATCTCCGAGGCGCTGTCGTACTTGTCCTTGAGGAAGTCGCCGATGGCGCGGAAGTCGGGCTGGGCCCACCAGCATGTCTTCACCTCGCAGCTGCCCGACAGCCCGTGGCACTTGCATTTGAGGTGCATGTGGTCTAGGATGGTCTGGAAAGAGGAGTAGCAGCTGGCCCCCGGACTGACCCCACCTGGGAGCACCCCTAGACCCTCCCACTCTGCCCCCGCCCACCCCCAACCCTGGAGCCGACTCCGGCTCCTACCCTGCCAGTAAGAAAACCGACAGGGACAGGAAGAGAACTGATTAGGGACTGAGGCACGGACTTAAAGGATGGTGACCACTGTTTCCCTCCACTTCACACCCTAAGCATTGTCAGAAATCACATCCATTTCTCAAAGCCATTCAAAATAGGGATTGTTGTCCCAGTTTAACAGATGGAGAAACTGAGGCTGGGAGCTTCAGTGACTCGCCCTAGGTCAAACAACCATAGGAAGGGGTAGAGGCCGAATTCAAAGCCAGTCCCACGGGTCTTCACAGCCACACACGGGCAGCCCGAGAGCACAGGCTGGGCTGGCCTGTACCTGCTCCATGGGGCGGCCACTCTCCCAGGCTGACGCATCCCCGGGGCTGGCAGAGACCAGGGACAGTCCGAGGAGAAAGGAGGGTGAACAGAAAGGGTGACTGTGGGGTGTGGGTGCGGGCCAAGCCTGGCCATGGGGAAAGAGGAGAGCACGGTTGCCCAGGACACACAAGGGCCCCTGGAAGGAGCAGGGCCGGGCCGGGCGGGGGCCAACGCGGGGTGTGGGGTGTGGGGCAGGGACAGGGTCCGGGGCAGGGTTGGGGCGAGGGCGGCCGCAGCTCACCGTGCGGCCCGCCTCGTTGTTGTGCTTGTTCATAGCCGAGCGCGCGTCCGGCCTGTTTTCGCGCGCGTCCGCGAACTCCCGGGACACCAGCACCCCGAAGTCGGCATCCTCGCTGCAGCCGCCCCACTTCCAGCCCTCGCCGGGCGGCCCCTTATGATGCGAGTCGCAGCCGCAGATGGTGGAGGTGCCCTCGGCACAGGAGCGCGTGACGGCGAAGGCCACGCCGGCCGAGGCGATGGCGTGCACGAAGGCCGATTCGCGGGTGGCTGCGGGGAGGGCGCGGGGAGGCATTGCTCAGGCCGGGCCCCGGGACGCGGCCGCCCTGCCTCGACCTCCCCAGCCGGGAAGAAGGGCTACCAGCCCAGAGAGAAGAGGTAGGAACCCAGGCGCCCTTCATATCCCCTTTGGCTGGCAGCCCCTGGTGGGTATCCCCACTTTACAGCTGAACAAGCTGAGGCCCAGGGTGGTTAACTGGTGATCCCAGGGCCCCCACATCTGATTCAGGGCAGAGCGAAGCCTGTTAGAAACAGGGGTGGAAACCGTAGCTCTGGCAGGGTGCTGAAGAGAGAAGTTTATCCTGCTCTGTCCTGACGCCAGGCCCCCTGCCTGCCCAAACTCCAGAGACCCCAGGATGGCCTGACTCCTCCCACTCCTGAGAGAGCCTGAGGTCTGTAGGCAGGGAGGCCTGGGAACTACAGCCTAAACCCGCCCAAGTGCACTCATTCCCCACCTGGATGCACTGGGGCAGAGCTTTCCTTTCTGAGCCTCAGTTACGCGTTGTAAAATGGGTACATCTCTCTGCCACCAGAGTTCCCGACCAGGAGGGCAGTGGCCTGCATCTCAGTCTGCCCGCTCTCCCATTCCTCTGTCCTCCACCCAGACAAGGGCCGAGGTTTGGGCCTAAGGCGGCCAAGCCCCTCCGGGGAGGATCGGAACACCGGACAGTTCCGCTGGTTCTGCCCCAGGGTCCATCGTACGAAAAGGAGAGATTCCGGGGGTGACCCCTAACCGCATTACAATGGTAACCGTTTCTGAGTGCGCCTGCGCACCAGATTCTGCCCTTCATGTGCTTTGCCTCATTTAATCCTCTGAACCCTATGAGGCAGAAAGCCTTTTTACAGGCCCATTGTACAGACACAAACATTGACGATTGCGGGGCAAAGGCCTGAGACACCCGCAGTCCAACCATCTCTCTCCTTACAGGCGAGGAACGCAGAGCGGGAGGTGACCTGCCCACGGCCACGCAGGTTGCGAGGCTCCGAGCCGGCCTAGAAGCCGGGGCTGAGGGTCGAGGGAGATCGCGGCTCGGCAGACAAAAAGGGAGCCCGTCACCCCTCGTCGCCCCCGCAGCCTCTTCAGCGGCCGCAGCGCGCTCGCGGTCCCCCTGCAGCAGGGGGCCGCGCCGCTTCCAGGAGCAGGCTGGAGGGGCGCGCGCAGCAAGGGAACTGCGGCCCGCGGGCGGCCGAGGCCCGGGGCCATGCCGGCCCGGGCTCCCCACCGCCCCGCTCGCCTCCTCCGCCTCTCGGGGCCCCGAGGGCGAGCGCCTCGCTTCCGGCGGCCTCTCGCGGCGGCGGCGGCGCCCGGGCCGGGCCGCGCTCGGTTCCCAGCCCGGGGGCCGCGGGGGCGGGGGGCGGGGCGCGGATTAGCCTGGGAGCGGCGCTGACAGCCCCGCTGTGCCGGTCCCCGTCCGGCGGGGCCCGCTGGGCCGCTCAATCCGCCTTTGTTCGCGCGGTGTCACACCGCATTACCCGCATAATGCGGCCGCCGGGCCCGGGCCGCCGGGCAGGCCGCCACCGCGTAGCAACGGGCGGCTCCCGCGGCCGGGCCGCGCCCCCGGCCCCGGCGCCGGGCCGCGAAATCCCCATTGAAGCGGCGCCCCCGCCCCCGCGCCGCGCCGAATGGCCAGAGGGCGTGTGAATGGCGCGGCGGCCGCAGCGGGCGCGGGGCCGGGCAGCGAGGTGGGGGGCGGCGCTCGGGCCCCTTTCAAGCCGCCTAAGCCCCTCCGGCCGCCCGCCCGCCCCGCCGCGGAGAGCGATCTCGGGCGGCCGCCCGCCGGCCCGGCCTCTAGCCTTCCGGCCGCCGACCCCGCGCCCCCGCCCCGCACGCAGGTGCAGCGCGAGCCCGACCGGTGGCAGCCCCGCCCCGGGCCGCCCCTCCGGGCGGGCCCACCCCTGGGAGCCGGTCCCCGCCCCCGCGCCCGGGGTCTCCAAGCTCCGGGGGAACGAGGAGCCCAGCGCAGGGTTCGAACCCGGGTCACGGGCTTCGGGCGCCCGGGCGCGTGTGCGTGCGTGAGCCTTCCTCCCCGGCTTTCATCCAATTCCCGGAGTCTCTGACGATCACCCCCAACCCCCGCCCGACCCAAAACCGCCCTCTTGCAGTTTAGGGATGAAGGCGCGTCCTAGAACCTACGACGTGGCTTAGAACGTGAAACACTGAATAGGTACTAAGCTCAAAGACCCGATTTTCACTGGCTGGTATCCCGAAAGGGGAACAGCCGTCAGAAGGTGAGTCGGGCTTTGGGGGAGCGCGTCTAGACGCCAGGCTGTTTGATGGAGGCTGCCTGGCCCCAGGTGGGGCACCGGAAGGCGGTGAGACTGGCACATCGGCAAGATCAGGTTTGAAATGCAAACCGCCGCCACTTGGCCCCAATTAGAGGCCAAACCTTTTATGTAAACAAGGAATAATTAGCTTTGGTAATAGAAGCGTAAACAGAATCAGCATCCATTGATTTGCTAATTGCTCTTCTGTCCCATGACAATAGCCTGTGGGTCCGACACACCCTGAGCATCTGATGCACAGGTAAAGGGGGCCTCCTACTCCCCGCCACTCCCCCCAGCCCCCGAGGTCCAGCTGGCTGTCAGATCCCTTTTCTTTCCGGCTGTAAATGCAGTTCTTCTACGAGAAAGGGGGGCCAGGGTCACCTTTCGGTGACAAAGCCCTAGTAGGGGTGGGAGAGTCCAAGTTGCTGTGGAAAGGAGCGGTGGCTCCCAGGGGCCAGCTGGAATCATTAAACTCCTGGACACTGCAGTTCCCCAAGGAGCTGCCCATCTTCAGCCCAGAACTCACCAGCCCCAAAGTCCCCTTCTTGGGAGCAGTTGCCCCCGCCATCCCTCTCTCCCGCTGCCTTCATGTTCCAAGTCCAGCTGTGTGAATCCCATTCACTTGAGACACAGCCAGTTAGATCCCCAGCTTGCAAGACGCCCGGAAAGTTACCCAGAGGCCAGCAGGCCCTCTCGCCTCACCACAATCCAGGGGCATATCCAGCTTGCAGGGGCGAAGGAACCAGCAGAAACTTCTCACGGAAGCACTTGGGGACAATGCAATGCCACCAGCACCAAGCAGCTTCCTCAGCTCCAGAATTTTCTATATGGGCTGGACCTAGATGTGGCAATGCCCCCACCCCCCACTCAAAAGCTAGATTTGCATAGCACTTAACACAGCACTGGGAAAACAGTACAAATGCCCACAGCAAAGCCTGGGGCCACCGCTGTGCAAGCCGGGAGGAAAAGAGGGCTGCAGCCTCCTAGCCTGCCCGAGGATCTCAGGGTCTCAAGGCTGCCGGGCCCCCAGCAGCACCTGGGAAGGTGTGGCAGCCATGGTGACAGCCTGAGTCTGTCCAGAGAGGGACCCGACCCACTTTTTGTGGAGGCTGCAGGTCCTGACCAGCTTTATACCTTCCCCCACCCCAACCCCCAGCCCCCTACCTGGCCCAGAGACAGTACCTTTGTCGAGGACAGGCCCGAAGATGGCCAGGCTGTCGTCTATGGTGGTGCAGTTCCAGCGGCGGCCCCGGAACTGATGTTGGCACTCCTGGATGCCCAGCTTCACGCCCTCGGCCACACTGGGCATGATTTCGATGTAGTTGCGGCAGAAGCGCAGTTGCTTAGGGACCAGGCCTGGGATGGACCCGCAGAGCAGGGGCTGGGAGCCCAGGGATGTGTACTGCTGGCCCAGGGCCAGGGACCTGCGGGCACACAGAGGACAGTGGCATTGCAGGCACAAAGCACATGGCCCACCGCGGGCGTCAGTTCTTCCTCGAGAGCCCTCCGGGGCAGGGGGAGCACCGTCATCCTGAACCCACAGCCCTGAGAAACCTGACACCCGAATGAGGGGCCTTTGACCTTGAGGGGCAGCTCTGGTCCAGGCCAAGTCAGGCCTCTGATGCGGGCATTTCCAGCTTGCAGGAGCCCGGGGACCAGCAGAAACCCCTCATGCAAGTAGGTGGGGGCAATGCAATCCCATGAAAAGAAGCCCAGACTGGAAAAATGGTACTAGGGCCCCAAGTCAAGTCCTTCCCAGGCTCTGGGCCAGTTTCCCTGATGGGCGTTGGAGGGGACAAGCTGGGAGTCTAGGTTTCTGGGGCCACACAGAGACTTTCAATGACCCATGGGAAGGAACCCAAACCTACAGAGGAAGCAGCAGGAGCTGGCTTGACCCCAGGCCCATCTCAGACAGAGCAGAAAGTAGAGAAGCCTCAGTCCCAGCAGGGAGCTTGCACACACAAGTGCACGTGTATGTTTGCACACGTGCATGCGTGCACACACGCACATAGAGGTCACCCATGGCAATGCCCCTCAGCGTCTTACCAGGATGATGCCGCCCAGCCCAGAGCCTCCCGGTGTCTCCCCAGGGAACTGGTGACTCACACCACATTCTCTGTCCTTTGTCCACCAGGGCCTCATGACCATCTTAGCCACTCCCTAGAAGTTTCTAGAGCACCATCTCTCACCAGAGATTGGAGCTTGGTTTTGTGTCAAGACAAGTGGAGCTCAGGGTTGGAGGGAGAAGCCCTCAGATCATCCGCCTTCCACCTGACACTATGTGACCTTGGTCAAGTCACCTCACTCTTCTGCCCCGCATTTTTCAATCAATACCCTGTCAACCTCTCAGGTTTGATAGTCAACAGAAGGAAAGGTCTTGTGAGGAGGCACAGGGGGAGGAACAAGAGTTTAAAATATTAGAAAACCAAGGTGCTGCTCTTCCACTCTCTCCCCCGGCACGGGAACAGCAGGAATGACATTTTGTGAGAGTGGCTGGGAAAACAATCCTGGGGTCTCAGTTGACTTGGAGGCCCGTTGCGATTAGCCCTGTGATCAGGGACAGTGTGAGCCTGTGATCAGGGACAGTGTGAGCCAGAGGGAGTGCCCTGGGGCCCATCTCCTCTCCCTTTATATCCAGCACTGACAAGGCTCTGGTCTGGCAGTGGCCTCCATCAAGTTCCCTCCGTAAAGTGACAGCAGAAGCCTTGGGAAGAGTGTCCGGAAGACCCCAGGGGCAGATCAGGAAAAAGCACACAGAAGCTTTCTGGACTAGACACAGGGATGAACCAAACATCTGCCATTTATCAGCTCTTCCTCTGTGCTCGGGATGGGCACCCTGGTGGGGTGTGGGGCCTGTCCACCTCAGGCTGGCTCTAGGCTCAGTTGTCACGGGGAGAGGCGACCCCATTTTCCCATGTGTTTATTTATTCTGGAGGGAGGGACTGGGGAACCAGATCTGGGCGTTCGGATGGTAACATTTATGAGACATTTCCAGATCTTGAGCGTCAAGCCCTTTTAAAGAGAAGAAAGGAGCAACCTGTGGGCCTGCTCGCCCCTGGGACTGGGGATGACTGACCTCTGTGCCGGGTGTGGGGTCAGCCTTTCCTTGGGTTTGCCTCACTGAATCCGGGGTCCTGAGTGGTGGGGGTGGCTGCAGGCCTGGCCCTTCTGCACCCTGGGCCTCACCACTGAGCCCCTGCCTGAGAGGGACAGGGCCAGTCAGCCCAGAGCCCCCAGTGGGCACGTGGCACACACAGCACCTGACGGGGCCCTGCTGGCCGCCCTCTCCTGCCCCTGCCCTGTTACAGTTGTAAACTGGTTATCGTGATAATAATGATGACCAAATACCTATTGTTTATTATGTACTGGGCCAGTTCTGAGTGCTCATGTCTCTTTCTTTATGTAAACCTCACATCGAGTCTGTGAGAGCGGAATGTCATTATTGTTACCGTCCCATTTCACAGATGAGGAAACTGAGCTAAGCAAACTGTGAAGGTCAGAGTTGGGCCTCCCTCCCAGTTCAGGCCGCCTCTCCACGTGCCTTTAACCAGCACGGCCAGCCTGGCCCTCCCAGCTGCCCCAGCAGTGCTGCTGTCACTGGAGAGGGAAGCCACGGTAGGCTTTAGGGCAGACGAGTCAGCATCGGGCCATCCTGGAGGGCAGCTCAGGAGCCAGGCCCCCTGAGAAGAAGCCTGGGCCTTTCCCACTCCCTCCTCTGACCTTTAGGACCCAAAGCCCTCCATGCAGCAGCTGGAGGGAAGCAAGGCCGGAGAGGGGGACTCTGCCATCCCCATGGCCCCACCTGGCTTTGGTCCTGAGGGTGGGGCCAGGAGGGCCCCTCTAAGGAGTATGGGGGTGATTCTCTTTCCCTCCCCACACCCTGCCCAGTCCCTGACTATCCCAGAGCAGCATGGGGAGACCTGGCACCCGCTTCCCAGCCTCAGCGTCCCTCCCCGTCTGGCCAGAGTGCTCCCCAGTCTCTGTACCCACAGGTGCCTCTGTCCATGCCTGTCCCCAGAGGTGTGGACGGGCCCTGCGGTGCCCACACTCTCCTTCAGCCTGGCCTCCCCCAACCCCCTCACACGCTAACCTGGGCAGGCCTGTCCCACCATCACATCTGGCACCGGGGGCCCTGTCCCATGTCGACCCCCATTTATTGGTCTTTCACCAGCCAAGCCAGGGCCCCAGGGTTCCAGTCTCCCTTTGCTCAGAGAGGCAAAAGTGGGGCCTGAGGGGCACTCAGGGGTCCTTCCTCCGCCCCTTCCCCCCCGTTACTTTCCTTCCTCCTCCTTCCTCGCCCTTTCCAGCCTTTGCCCTACACCAGTCAGCACCTCTGCAGGCCTGGGCACCCCAAGCTGAGCGGAGCCGCGGACCAGAATCAGAACCTATGAGAGGAGGCCTAAGAGAGCACAAGCCCACCATACGGATGAAAAAGCAGAGGTCCCCAGAGAGAGGCCTGCCCGAGGCCGCACGGCCAGACCCGGGACCAGGTTAGGCGGGGTACCGCTGCAGGGAAGGGCGCTGAGGCCTGGGGAAACCCCACTGGCTCTTCATTTCCACTCAGTTGAGGCTGCTCCTCGTCTCAGCCCTTCAAGGGGCTCCCTGCGCCCTGATTTCACCAATTGCCTCCCAGTGGGTCCCAGGCAGACCCGCCCAGCCCAGCCAAACACCCAAGCCCTGGGCACTGGCTGGCACAGCTTGGCTGGCTGCAAAGGCCAGAGTTGCTCCCCAAACATCTCCTAGTAGGGAGATGCCAGGGTCCCCCTACTGGGCATGGAGCCCCTGACGGCCGAGTCCTCCTACTGCACAGTTGCAGCCTTTCCTCCGACCCAAGTGGATTTCCTCTTGTCCGCTGCAGTCACATTCAACACCAGCGATCATAACGACACCATTTATTTAGCACTTATGTGCCAGGCAAGTAAATATTATCTCATTTAATGCTCACAACAGCTCTGTGAGGTGAGTGTTGTCACTTGTTTTGCAGCTGAGAAAACAGGCACAGAGAAGTTGAGTAGCTTACACAAGGAAGTGGCTGAGCCAGAATTCAAACCCTGGCTTTGTCTGATTCTAAGTGCGATGTCCTCCGAGAATAACTCCCAGCCCCCAAGGTGACGAGTTCCTTTCCCTCCTCCCACAACACCCTGGCTCTTGCCCGCTGCCCAGGCCCAACGAACTGTGCGCCGGGAGCCAGGCCGCCTCAGCTCGAACCCAGCTCTGCCATTTCCTAGCTGCGGATCCCAAGTAATTTACTTAAGCTCTCTGTGCCCCAGTTTCTTCATCTGTAAAACAGACGCAATGGGAGGAATCCATGATATAGAGCACCTGGCTCATAGGGAGCCCTCAATAAATCGTGGTTGTGGCTACCAGGTGATAGGGGCTGTCCCCAGCACTTTGTCCTCTGCCCTGTCGTCATGAGCCTCTTTCCTTCTGCCCTCCCATCCCTAACTTGATAGGATACATCAGAATTTTCACAGCCCCTTCCCATCCATCACTGGGAAGGATGTCCTGGCTCAGAGCAAAGCCAGCCCCTTCCCTGACAGCTGAGTGCCACCCAGGCGGCTGAACAGACTGTCGCGATCCGGCTGAGTGTTAAAGGTGACCCAAAGGGCAGGGGCATAAGGACATTTCCAGGCTGCTCCGTTCAGGGGCTTCAGCTCAGATCTGGACAGCCTGCCGGTGACGAGCAAGGGCCTCTGGATGGCGGTTTAGCGCATGGGCTGGTGTTGGGGCTAACGAGCTCTGGGACTGATTTCTGCAGGGTAGCTGCCCTCCCCAAACACAGCCTGCCAACCCCGACCCTGAGCCTCCCGGCACACACTGCTTGTGTCCGCAGCCCCCCACCACAGATGCGTTCATTTAGCTCACCACTCCTTGCCCGCATTATTGAAGTGCACGTTCCCCTGGGGGAGGTCACACAGTGAGCTTCCTTCTCCTCTATTCTTGGTGCCAAAGTTTGAGCGCTTTGGTTAGCATTGCCCGGGCTGCTGCAGGACTTGCAGCCTGGCTGTTTCACACCTCTGTCCCTTTGCATGTGCTGAGCCCTAGACCTGGAGTTCCTCTCCACTGCCCCGGCCCCCAGCAAACATCTTACCAACCCTTCAACCTCTGATTCCTGGGTCGCCTCCCTCCTACAGACTCCCAGACACAAGTGACCTCTCCTCTCTCTGGATTTTTCCTCTACCTTCTCTCGAAGTGCTGAACTGACTTGTTTCCAACTCCATCTGGCTGTGCTGGTGTAAGTTCCCTGAGGATAGAGGTTGTGTTTCCTCCTGTTCTCCCCAGCACCTCCCCCCACACCACACACACACACACACACACACAGACGGGCGCACACTTGGCCTATCCAAGGGCCAGGCCTATGAGAGGTACTTGCTGATTCTCAAGGGAAGGAATGAAGGAACAACTCCTTCCCCCAAAGGCCGGT